AGAATCCACACGATGAGGCAAATTCATATGACAAAAGTCTTCAAAGGGACTTTCACATCGACCGACGCTGTTATGCCCAAACCCCACACGACCAAACTTCTTGGTAAGTATCGTGTCTGTTGTCTGATTATGGTGTAAATTTGGCATAAGTAGCATAGCTCTTGCATTTCTTATGCCTTGTTATTTTGATTTTAACTAGTTTTAAAGTACTTCTTTTATCACTAGTTACATAACTAGATACCTGCCGTGCATACTAAAACCCAGAACTTTTTCTTGGAAAGGTGCCGGTATGTTACCGAGGTATTATCTGTTATAGGCAGTTTTTGGGAACATACTGGATATAAGATGGATGATTGTTATGTATTCTAAGCATTATTGTAATTATTACAAGATAAAAATTACTTGTACCAAAATTAATAGATTTGTGAATTCAGAGCATTTTTTTTTTGCAATTTTCCTGCATGGGAACAAATAAAAATATAGATTAATATACAGTACACCATAATGGAACCAAGGTTTTCTTTCTACTATGTAAATTATTCTGTACAGGGAAGGGTTACAGGGTAGTCCAATTGTATCAGCCCCTTGCCAGTGAGTGGCATGTGCATACATGTCTTTGCATGGCAGGAAGATAGAACTTTGATTGCTTTCGTATTTGGTGGAGAAACACAAAGCTCAAGTTTGTCAATAAGAAAAAGTGTTGAATTATGTTTTCTCATTGGCTATTACCTATGCTTCCCTTCAAGTTGTCAGTCCGAAATTCATCAAAAATCAAAACAGCACCTACTTTTCATTGTCATGATCATGACCATCATGTGTACTGGTGATTTATGATCAAAGGAGGAACCAATGCAAATTACTAAAGCGTGCATGGTGGAAGGTTCCTCTGCATGGAGTGTTGAAAAATGCAGGCCACAACAATCACTTGATCACATCTATCACTATTTCTTTTCTTTATAGCAATGTAGCTTCTGACAACTATGACAAGAAATTATGTAAATCATGATTTAGGTTAATCTTTACAATATGAATGGCAACTGCATCTGTATTGCAAAGAATTACCATAATTGTTAATACTATATTTGTATGCAAAAAATTAAGTAATACAACTTTGTGTCTACGTGTTTAGAGGGAGAACATCTTTCTATTATATCTTAATGAAGAGGTTATATAGGTAAACCAGAAAAATGGTTTATGTTTGGTTGCACAGTTTTGCTAGATTTTGCAGAAGTTCAGAAGTTAATTCAAAATCTTTATCAAACCTATGTTGATTTGCATAACTAGCCTTGTAAAATTAGAACCACTGATTTCTTCATACTCAGTAATATGAAGAAATATAAAAGGTACCCAAAAAATTCATCTAACGTAACCTATCCATGAGATTAATCTTGCCACATTCCCTAGCCTAAAAGGGGCTCCCTCCCCCACCTTCTGTAAACACTCCATACTAACTTGCATAGCTAACTCAGTAAAAGTAGTCAGTCTGTATTATGAAGCCTTGAAATTATACACAATGATTTTATAAACTGCTGTCTTGCAAATATATGTGTGTGTGTGTGTGTGTGTGTGTGTGTGTGTGTGTGTGTGTGTGTGTGTGTGTGTGTGTGTGTGTGTGTGTGTGTGTGTGTGTGTGTGTGCCCGCGTGCGTGCGTGCGTGCGTGCGTGCGTGCGTGCGTGCGTGCGTGCGTGCGTGCGTGCGTGCGTGCGTGCGTGCGTGCGTGCGTGCGTGCGTGCGTGCGTGCGTGCGTGCGTGCGTGCGTGCGTGCGTGCGTGCGTGCGTGCGTGCGTGCGTGCGTGCGTGCGTGCGTGCGTGCGTGCGTGCGTGCGTGCGTGCGTGCGTGCGTGCGTGCGTGCGTGCGTGCGTGCGTGCGTGCGTGCGTGCGTGCGTGCGTGCGTGCGTGCGTGCGTGCGTGCGTGCGTGCGTGCGTGCGTGCGTGCGTGCGTGCGTGCGTGCGTGCGTGCGTGCGTGCGTGCGTGCGTGCGTGCGTGCGTGCGTGCGTGCGTGCGTGCGTGCGTGCGTGCGTGCGTGCGTGCGTGCGTGCGTGCGTGCGTGCGTGCGTGCGTGCGTGCGTGCGTGCGTGCGTGCGTGCGTGCGTGCGTGCGTGCGTGCGTGCGTGCGTGCGTGCGTGCGTGCGTGCGTGCGTGCGTGCGTGCGTGCGTGCGTGCGTGCGTGCGTGCGTGCGTGCGTGCGTGCATGCATGCATTCGTGTGTGCGTGTGTGTACATACATATTTTTTCTCTCTTTATTTCAATACAATTTATACTTTATTTATTTATTTTATTATTATTTTTTTTTTTCAACCAAAAAGGGAGTTACTGAAATGTCTTTTTTTTATTAATTTCTTAGCTTCTTTCTATCTGTTGTTTATGTGATGAAGGGACCTGCTTCTTTAGAAGTTTAAACTATATTATCAAATTAGTATGTAAGATAAGTTTAGTATACAGTAGATGTTATCCAAAAATATGTACTGAAAGTTTCAATTGTAACTACCTCTTATTCTAGATCATACATGGAAGATTCCCTATTTGCCATCAATTCCAGTACAA